TCATCTACCCAGAATGCCTTTTCTCTTTTTCCAGCCAACCTGTAAGCCGATCTTCCTTCAAAATCTGACTCATACTGGTCACTCAGCAAATATCTCAATCACACCTATCCACTCTGATCACTTCCCTGCTTACATTCCTAGAAGGCTCACTCACTCCGAATTCACCATAGGCGGTGATTCACACGTGTCATTCATTCAAAACACATTTACTTAGCATACATTATCTTCTATGTGCTGAAATGAGAAATTTTATTTAAATTCTACATCATTTCTGTATGGTAAGATTATTATTACTGTTTGACAGATTAGAAAACTGAAACTCACAGGGGGCAGAAAAATTGTCTATTTAATGAACACCTAGAATTTGCCAGAAACAGTGTCAAAGCTAGAGTAGAAAAACTGTCTAAAGTTCAGACTCTGAAACCCACCCAAATCTAGTTGCAAATGTCAACAATTGCACAGCAATTATTAGATGATGTACAGGTTAAGTGTTTCACCTGTATTCTTTTAAGCTTTATAAGAATCCTATAAGAAAGGTACTCTTGCCATCCCCATTTTATAGACAAACTAAGGAAGGGAGATTAAATGGACAGGGTCACATGGCTAATACCTTGTGATTTAAACCCAGGCTATGTGGCTTCAGAGTTTATGCTCTTAGCCACTGTTGCCTTTGAAGATACAATTTCAAAGTTCATCCTTATTCCTCTGAAGCACAGTACTAATTTTTACTCCATTTGTTGCTTGTGAGTTAATAAAGTCCTTTTAACACGTTTGCTTTATCTTCCCCGCAAACTCACAAGTTTGATCATTGATTTTTCCTTTAACAAGCGATATTGAAAGTCCACAGTCGTCCAGAGCTTGGGGGCAAGTGTGGGGTGCGAGGGGTCACGTGTTGTGCCCACTGTTTCCTTAAGGTTTATACCTCTCCTCTACATGCTAGGACCTCACACAAAACTCAGTAGAGTTTGAGCCACAGCAGTCTCCTAGAAAATGTTGTAACTGGGCTGGGCATGGTGGCTCACATCTGTAATCCCACCATTTTGGGAGGCCAAGGAGGGGGGATCACCTGAGATCAGGAGTTCGAGACCAGCCTGGCCAACATGGTGAAATCCTGTCTCTACAAAAATACAAAAATTAGCCAGGCATGATGGTGGGTGCCTATAGTCCCAGCTACTGGGGAGGCTGAGGCAGGAGAATTGCTTGAACTGGGAGGCAGAAGTTGCCGTGAGCTGAGATCACGCCATTGCACTCCAGCCTGGGCAACAAAGCAAGACACCGTCTCAAAGAAAAAACCAAAAAAGTTGTAACTGAATCAAGGCTACTGGTTGTAAGAAAATTCAATGGGGAAATAGAGCTGGTAAATGCATTGGCTATTCCAAGACCAAAGAGAGTCTAATCCAGCTCCACTGGGAGAAATTATTTTTTTTCTTGACAGATTTATGCTACTAAACCACAGTTTTCATTTTGTCTCTTTAGGGAAAAAAACAAAAGGTCTCCATATTTTGAACCGTATTAGTCTAAGCTTCTGTGCCAGAACTAGAAGTACCAGAGTTGGACAACTGTACTTATGCAGCCTCATCTTCTGTAACCCCTCAATGTGGACCATGAGGTCATTCATTTGTTTATTCATTCATTCAACAAACATTTACAGGGTTCTCTCCCTGTGCCAGGCACAGTCCCTGGCACTAGAGATACAGCAGTGATCAAAACAGATAAAGTCCTTGCCTTCATGGAGCTTCCATTCTAGTTGCAGGAGACAGACAATAATCACACAAATACTGCAATATGTAAGAAGGTGATGAGCGCTGTGAAGATCAAGCAGAGACAAGGGGATGAAGTTGCTGGTTTAGGTAGGGAAATCAAGGCTCCCCGTGAGAAGGTGACATTTGAGCAGAAATCCAAACAGTGTGTGGGACTAAGACCTGTGCAAATCTTTGGGAAGAACATTCAGGCACCAGCAATAGTTGTGAAGGCCCCATGGCAGGAGAGTGCCTGGCCTGCTGAGGGGGATCTAGGCAGAGGAGCAGCTGGCACCTGCAGGCTGGGGGAGGGCGGTAGGAGACAAGATCAGTCCCAGCTCCTGTGGAGCCGACAGGCCACTGAAAGACCTTGGAGCTGACTTTGAGCGAGATGAGAAGCGTTTAGAGGGGTCCAAGCAGAGGGTAGCCTTCCCTGACTAGGCTATAAACTGGCCTTCAGCTGGTCTCTTCTTCCCAGCTCCAGAGATCTGGAGAATCCCTTTTGCTTACCCGTCCATATGGAGGCCATTCTCTTTTCCTTTCTGGTTCATGCCAATCTTTCCTTTTTCTGAGCTCCTAGTGATGAACAGTTCAATCAATGGTCATTTCCCTTCTGAAATCCCCTAATGATCATGAACTCCTTGCAGGCAGGAACCCATCTTGTCATGTCTGGCCATTCAGGAGACCATCCCTCCCACCTAGTGCCCAGAGACTGTCAGCCACTGTCCCCAATAGGACTGCAATGGTCCTGTTGAAAAGTTCTTCTGTTATAAAAAANAGAACTAAATAAATGGGGGGACAGTACATGTTGATGGATAGAAAGATTCAATATTGTCTAGATATCAATTTCCCCCAACTTGATCTTTAGATTCAATGCAATCCCAATCAAAAACCCAGCAAGTTATTTTGTAGATATCTACAAACTAATTCTAAAGTTTATAGTAAGAGGCAAAAGACCCAAAGTAGCCAACATAATATTGAAGGAGAACAAAGTTGGAAGACTGACACTACCTGAGTTTGAGATTACTATAAAGCTAGAATAATCATGGCAGTGTGGCACTGGCAAAAGACAAAAATAGATGAGTGGAATAGAACAGAGAACCCAGAAATGGATCCACATAAATATAGTCAACTGATTCTGACTGATACGGTTTGGATGCTTGTCCCCTTCAAATCTCATGTTGAAATCTGATTCCCAATGTTTGAGGTGAGGCCTGGTGGGAGGTAATTGGATCATGGGGCAGATCCCTCATGGATGGCTTAGCACCATCCCCTTGGTGGTAAATCAGTTCTTGCTCACTTAGTTCACATGAGGTCTGTTTGTTTAAAAAATTCTGGGACCTCTCTCCTCTCTCTCTTGCTCCGTTCCTCACCATGTAATACCACCTGTTCTCCCTTTGCCTTCTACCATGATTGTAAGCCTCCTGAGATCTCACCAGAAGCAGATGCCAGCATTATGCTTTCTGTATACCCTGTAGAACCATAAGCCAATTAATCCTCTTTTCTTATAAATTACCCAGTCTCCGGTATTTAGAGTAATATAAAAACAGACTAACACATTGACAAAGAAGCAAATGCAACATAATGGAAAAAAGATGGTCTTTTCAAGAAATGGTGCTGGAACAACTGGACATCCACATGCAAAAAAATGAATCTAGACACAGACCTTACACCCTCCACAAAAAATGACTCAAAATGGGTCACATACCTAAAAGTAAAATGCAAAACTATAAAATTTCTAGAAGATAACATAGGATAAAAATCTAGATAACCTTGGGTTTAGCAATGACTTTTAGATATAATACCAAGGCATAATCCATGAAAGAAACATTTAATAAGCTGAACTTCACTAAAATTAAAAAGTTCTGCTCTGCAAAAGACACTACCAAGAGAATGAAAAGATAAGCCACGGACCAGAAGAAAATACTTACAACGGATATATCTGACAAAAGAATGTTACCAAAAATAAACAAAGAACTCAAACTCAACTATCGGAAAACTTGATTCAAAAATGGGCCAAAGCCCTTAACAGGCATCTCACAAAAAAACAAAAAATAAAACAAAACAAAACAAAAAAACCAGACAGATGGCAACAAAGCATACGAAAAGATGTTCAACACCGTATTTCATCAGGGAAAAGCAAATTGAAACGAGATATCACTACACACCTATTAAAATGGCCAAAATCCAGAACCCTGACACCATCAAATGCTGACAAGGATGTGGAGCAACAGCAATCTTTGCTGGCAGGAACGCAAAATAGTACAGCCACTTTGGAAGACAATTTGGCAGTTTCTCACAGAACTAAACATACTCTTAACATTAGGATTCAGCAATCGTGCTCCTTGGTATTCGCCCAAAGGAGTTGAAGACACGTCTACACAAAAATCTGTATACAATGTTTATAGCAGCTTTATTCATAATTGCCAAAACTTGGAAGCAACAACCTCTTTAAGTGAATGGATTAAAAAAGCTTGGTATACACAGTGAATTTTTCAATGCTAAAAAGTAAGCCATGAAAAGATATGGAGGAATCTTAAATGCATATTAACTACATGAAAACAATCTGAAAAGGCTACTACTATATGATTCTAACTATATGATATTATCTGGACAAGGCAAAACTATGGAGACAGTAAAAAACATCAGTGGTTACTAGGGGTTGGGGGCAGGAGAGTGGAAGGGACAAGCAGGCAGAGCACAGAGGATTTCTAATACAGTGAACACACTCTGTATGATACTACACTGGTGGATTCATGTCATTATACATTTGTCTAAACCCATAGAATGTACACAATGAGTGAACTATAATGTAAAATATTTGGTGATAACATGTCAAGGTAGGTTCATAAATTATAATAAATGTAACACTTTGGTAGGGGATGCTCATAATGGGGGAGTCTATGCATGTATGTGGGAGGAGGGAGTATATGGGAAACCTCTGTTCCTCTCAATTTTGCTTGAACCTGAAACTCCTCAAAAAAATAATGTCTTAAAATAATAGTCTACCAAAAAAATAAAAACTCTATATACACACAGAGTTCCTAAGCACAAAAAGCTTATAGTCTCCCACTATGCATACACATAAACTAGTAACTATCATACAATCATCAGCCCTGGCCCATAGGGCTGCAGGCCACCCCTCCCTTCAACAGCTCCCATCTTTTCAATTACTACAGTTGAGTGTGGTACGTTTAAACCTCCTTTTTTACTTCAGTGCCCCAAAGATGGAGCTTCAAGTCTCAGGATCTTTTTTTTTTCCTTAATATACATTGTAGCCAACAAGAGACACAAATCAGTAGGATCTAAACTCCATTTCTGATCTGGCTTTGTGTCTTAGGATACACGATGCAGAGATGGCCAGCACACTCAGATTCTTTGGTCACTAAGTTTCTAGTAGATTTACTGTGTTTCTGGCATCTTCAGACATCTATAAAGGAAGCGCATGATGGAAACAATGCTCTGCTTTAAATGCTCTGGTCAGCCTAAGGTGAAAGCAGATGATAGGGACAGGCATCATGAGAATCAATCAATGCTATAATTTGTCTGAAGCCCAAAAAGTTCTCTCTGACCATCATACAGAAAGAGAAATAGCACTACTTTTACTTTTAACCAATTAGACAAGATTTTGGGGGGGCTGCAATGAATAAATCATTCTTTTCATCCCATTCCAATTGCTCCCGCTCTTTTTAGCTAACGTCTACCAAATTACTGACTAAATAATATTACTTAATATTCAGCTACTCAGTTAATAAAGAACATATAGACCAAAAGACAGTACAGATCACTTTGTATTTATTACATTACTGAACTTTTTCCAATTATAGAATTCAACTCCAAAATAAATAAACGCCTATTAAATTATTATTCACTTGCATTTTTCTCTCCTAAAATTTTAACACAGCAAAACATCTTAAAGACGTGTGAATAGGTTCAGTGCACTCTCAGTGGCTTACAATTATGAGGCAAATATCACATTTATCCATAAAAATATAAGATAAACAGATCAGTATTTTAAAATATTGCTGACATAAAAGGAAAAAATAAAATACTACACTTTTACCACAATTATTTTGGTAGATGACATAACATTGTTTAAAATAATGCTCCTCTACAAAACACACGCTGTGCTAGGTATACTTGGCACATTAGCAGTTGGTAACTGCTCAGCTTCTATCTGCAGTTTCTCTAGCAGGACCCTTACTTAGGCCCACTTTCAAACCCCGAGCTCTGATCTGCCTGCCTCCACAAGGACTCTTCTGGTAGGAGTCTGACCCTTCTTCCTCACCTACTCTTAAGGCTTTTTCATCATCCCTTATATTCCCCCAGATTCACACTTGCTGCCATTTCCATTTTCAGCAAAGATGCCTGGCACAAAATTCACAAAGCTGAGCATTTCCTCCATACCTCTTACCCCAGATGTTGTCCCTTCACTGACTAAATTATGACTATTAGGTAAAGAGAATGAGTTTACCCACAAAAATAATTCAGCTGGGCATGGTGGCTGATGCCTGTAATCCTAGCACTTTGGAAGGCTGAGGCAGGCGGATTACCTGAGGTCAGGAGTTTAAGACCAGCCTGGCCAACATGGAGAAATCTCGTCTCTACTAAAACTACAAAAAAAAATTAGCCAGGTGTGGTGGCGCATGCCTGTAATCCCAGCTACTCAGGAGGCTGAGACAGGAGAACCACTTGAACCCAGGAGGTGAAGGTTGCAGTGAGCCAAGACTGCACCATTGCACTCCAGCCTGAGCAGCAACAGCAAAACTCCATCTCAAAGAATAAATAAATAAAATAAATTCTCCCTACTTTATAGTCACAACTCCTATAATGCAAAAATAAAGGTTGATGATGCCTGATTTATAACTGAAAACATTCAATAAGTTTAGACAGAATATATACTGCTCTGAAGTTTCTTAAAATCTATTCTTCTATTATTGTTTTTAAAATCATAAAAATATAAAAACTGTGAACATTCTACTAAACATTTCAGTAGAAACCCTGTTACCCTACTTTTTATTTAGTGGGTTCAGAAAGAACAAAAGTGATACCACATTCCTTTGGACAGACCCAAAATCATGTTCCCAGCCCTAAATCTACCATTACATGTTTCCCACCCATTAGACAGCTCTGTATGCCAAGCATGTCTCTCATGACAACTGCAGCTACCACTCACAAATACATCCTGTAACAAAGCAGCAGATCTTTCTGGTGGCAGTCCATGTGCTCTCAGCATCTTACACAATTGACCTAGCCTCAGTAACTAGGCAAACACAGGGAATTAAGGAAACAAAAAATTGGAGCACCTCCTTTGTGACATGCTGAATTCCTTTGCAAAGTGAGAAGGCACTTCCTCTCTGTAAGAGTCATAGCAGAATCAGGTAAGGGGCGAGGGATGCTGCTGACAGAGGTAGGAACAAGGAGGGAGCTGATTAGGCTAGCTACCAGTGTCCACTGCACCCCTGGAGTCAGCATACTCCGTTTATTATGACACCGCTGAGAGCCTGGGGATGAATCTCATCTATTTAAAAGAAGGAACCAATTATGCAGGAAATTCCAGTCACTTACTACTCCTGTAGCAAGATTTCAATGTATGTTTTTAAAAGAATAAAATTAACAAGATGTTATATATTTTTTAATGAATAACTTAAAAACTGAGAAAGAAAATACTGGTTTTGTTTTTAGGGAGGGATACCCTTGACACAAATGACTAATGAACTCTACTAACTCTGAGAAATCTCCCTAGCTTCTTTATCAGCTATGATTAACGAAATAATCTAAAATCAGAATTCCTGACCTGGGTGACTAAAAGTACCAATTAACCAGATTATTAACTGTAATGACTTACCTGAACAGTCTCTATGGTGAAGTGTCAGAAAAAGTGAAATAATAAATATTTTCCACAGCACCATAAGATTTTATAAAATAATATTTCAGTTAATGTACAACCTCAAGATTTTGGTCCATCATTCATATAAAGGCTTCTTTTACTGATAACGGTTTTGACAGACGCCACACAGTCATAACTATAACATGAAAATGATATGTTTTATTGAAGAACCTGTATGCTATACTTAGATAGTCTCTGCTTCAGCTATATCCATTGAGTACTAGTGGATTCAAAGGCCAGGAAAAAATGGTTTTGCCATTTATACTCTAATCACAAATTTTAATTTGCCAAAAGGACCTAAGCGGTAACTGACTAAAATATTTGTTATAACTAAAAAGTCCTTTTTGTATCTGTTTGCTTTGTTACTGCATGCACTTATGGGTTTTCTTTTCATATGATATTTTGAAAATGGCTCTGAGTTTCAAAATTAAGAATAGAGTGATTTGCTTTGAATTTCAAAATAAATCCAAGCATAAAACACACAAATTTCATAACCAAATTATCTGGAATTACGTGTAACAGTTATCTATAATAAAAAAAATATACCACAGATTGGATTCCCTCAATATCCAGCATGCTCATGGATCTTCTACAACTGCTAGTGTATGCTATGCCAACTTAGTTCAACACTGATCTAAGCAAAACATAATCAAAAGTATTGACTTGCCTACCAAAAAACATACACTGCATTCCAAAGCCAAATACGAATTAGGTTTGAGATGATCAATTTCATGTCTCCCTTCAAGTAATGCAGAAAACTGAGACTTGGCTTTATTACAAATTAGCTAGCACTAGAGTAAACTTGCTATAAAATTATTTATAACAAAATAAATATTTTCAGTCCCTCTAAACACTAAGTGGTATATAAATCATTAGCAGTTTATAATATTAGCTTAGGTCACTTTTTGGGGGACCCAAACATACTGTACAATCCTGAGTTAAAGGTTAAGGATGCAGTTTTGGGGGATCTTTCTTGACCAGGAATCATAAAGAAAACATATAAACCACCCTTGTAATAATCCCCACTTTCATTAGAAGTACCATGAGTTCTTTTTACTTTGGTAAATAAGTTTATCTATGTAAACCATTGATCTTGATGAAGTAAAATTTAGCAGAGCTTCTGCTAGGATCCCTCCATCACCTTTTGACACTGATACAACAAATAGTCAGGAAGAGTAGAGCAGGAGGATCTGAACCACAGAGCTAATACATCTGCATGAATTCGGCAATGCAGTAAGCAGGGGATGGATGGCAGCAGCTGACAGGCCAATAGCCCTTCATTGCCTACAACAAAACAAAAGTGAAAAATGATTTAATGCAAAAGGAATTAAACAGACATTTCTCCAAGAAGATACACAAATGGCTAATAAGCACATGAAAAGATACTCAATATCACTAATCACTAAGGAAACTGCAAACTGAAACCACAATGAGATACTGTACTTCATACCCATTAGGGTGGCTAATATTAAGAAAAAAAACAGATAGTAACAAGTGTTGATGAAGATGTGGAGAAAATGGAACCCTTGTACATTGCTGGTGGGAACGTAAAATGGTACAGTTGCTGTGAAAATAATATGGTGGTTTTCCAGAAAATTAAATATAGGCCAGGTGCAGTAGTTCATGCCTGTAATCCCAGCACTTTGGGGGGCCAAGGCGAGCAGATCATTTAAGCTCAGGAGTTCTAGACCTGCCTGGGCAACATGGTGAAACCCTGTCTCTACTAAAAAATACAAAAAATTAGCTGAGCATGGTGCCACACACCTGTAATCCCAGCTACTCAGGAGGCTGAGGCACAAGAATTGCTTGAACCTGGAAGGTGGAAGTTGCAGTGAGCCTAGATCACACCACTGCACTCCAGCATGGGTGACAAAGTAAGCCTCTGTCTCAAAAAAAAATTAATTAATTAATTAAATCCATAATTACCATATAATCCAGCAATTCCACTTCAAGGTATATAACCAAATAAAGAACTGAAAGCAGGGACACAAACAGTGATATTTGTATAACCCTGTTCATAAAAGCATTATTCACCAATAGCCAAAAAGTGGAAGAAATCCAAGTATCCATTTACAGATGAATAAACAAAATGTATCACATTCACAACATGAACTAGTATTCAAACTTAGGAAGGAAAAAAAATTCTGACATATGCTACAACATGGATCAACCTTGAAGACATTATGCTCAGCAAAATAAGCCCGATATAAAAGGACTAGTATGATTCCACTTATATAAAGTACCTAACGTAGTCACGTTCATAGAGACAAGAGGTAAAACAGTAGTTGCCAGGAGATGGAGAAGAAGGGGAAAGGTGGAGTTAGTGTTTAATGGGCATAGTGTTCCAGTTGAGGAAGATGAAAAAGTTCTAAAGACAGATGATGGTGACAGTTGGACAACAGTGTGAATATACTTAATGCCACTTAACTATATTTTTTTTAATTGTTAAAATGGTATATTTTATGTATGTGTATATTCCAATAAAAAAATTATTTAATATAGTCTGAAAAACACATTCGTCTGAAAGACAGCGGCAACTGGAAATAAAGCTCTAAAAAATCTGATACTTGTAAGAGTTTGTGTTCCAATTGTAAGAAAGCTCCTATAAATACGGAATTGCCTTTTCATAACTCTACGAACCTATAATGTCAACAATATGGAGTCTTAATTTCTGTTGCAGAGTCTTTAGTACAGAAGGCAGTGCAGCTTGAGATTCTGACATTTTTACATTTTGTTTCACATCATTTGCGAAGGATAACCACAGTTTGCCGAAGTCTTCACTTGAGATTTTTAATGGTCTGAAAATAATGTTTAAAATTAGATATATATCAAAAAAAGTGAAGTGATTCTAAACAAATTTCAAATGCCTGAGAATAAAACATCACTGTAAATCTGGGTCCCATATGATTTATGTTTTTAAACCCAAATATGCTAAAGATAATTAGTATCATCCTGTAACCTGATGAAACTACTGAAAGCAGGTAATACTATTAAGTTTAAAATGTCATTTAAATAAATCACTCAGTTCTCTCTACTAGTCATTCCAGTAAGATTTTACCAAGTAATTTTATAAATCATTCAAATATAATATGAACTTTTCTTTCATATATAATTTGAATTTGGGGATAATGGGATACTTTATCAAAGTTATGTAAAAGAATATGAGGCCGGGCGCGGTGGCTCAAGCCTGTAATCCCAGCACTTTGGGAGGCCGAGGCGGGTGGATCACAAGGTCAAGAGATCGAGACCATCCTGGTCAACATGGTGAAACCCCGTCTCTA